GTTTATTCTGAAATCAAGTACAGAAAGAAGAGTGTCAGCAGTGAAAGTCTCTAATTGGATTCCATGTAGAACCAAACAATCATTTTGAAATAAACAATAGTAGAGAATGACCCCAAATAGAATTCCACAAGAGAGGAGCAACCGCTTATTGATGGTGGAACAGACGAGATTTCTGCACAAATCAAATATGAAAACAATTCAGCAACTACAAAGAAGGAATAAGTTTGATATTACTGGAATAAGTTTGATATTATGCTTACTGTTCTGATGAAGGTCAAGCCGGATAAGGCGCGAAAGGCTTCCGATATTTTGTGGCAGACCACCCAACATATTCTTAGCTGCAGAGTAAAAAAATATTAAAGTGTGCCACAGAATCTTTCAATATGTAAGAAACGCAAAAGAAAAATTGAATATCATTACATGCATTAAGCTCTGTAAGCATGGTCCATGATGCTATGTGCGCCTCAGAGAGAACTGTGAGCTTGTTTCCCTGTAATAGGTACAAATTACATCGGTAAATACCTTCTTCCAGGCAGGCTATACTGCACTTGGAAGATAGTGAAAGAGGGAAAAAAATGCTAAGTAGCCACTTTGGACTTGAGGAAGAAATCGACACTATTACCTCCACATCCAGTTTAGATAGTTTCGAACAGTTCGCCATGTCTTCTGGCAAACTCGAAATTTGATTATTTGAGGCCTGTGGATAACAATAAGCACAATCATTACCATGAAAGAAGAAGTAAAACAAAAATCAAATGATCCATAATCAACATAGAACAACCTTCAAGTCGGATAAGTCTAAACATCTTCCAAGAGATTCTGGCAGTTCTTTAAGCCGATTGCTTGAACAGTCAAGCCTGAAGCGATCACAAGGAGTTTACAAAATTATAAACGGTGTGCGTGTAATGAGTCCAATGCCCTAATCTAAATCAAACCACAGAAGTTTATGCCAGGATGAAGATAACCTACTTGACAAGAGAAGTTGCTGAACCAATTTGCTCAGGAAATTCTGATATGGAGTTGAAGGACACATCCAACGACTTCATCGCTGTAAGCCTACGAATGAGATATAATAACAAGCATTTGGACATTACCAAGCTGGAACACAATGGAACCTAACTACAAAGATCCGGAAAATACTTACTCCCCGATCGCTGCTGGAAGTTGAGACAGATTATTATGACTGACATTTAGCACAACCAAACAAGCAAGGTTCTTGAGATCTTCTTTCAAAACCTCAATTTCATTATGTGCCAAAATCAGCTTCTGTAAATCAACAGCCTGCAAAGATGGGGACATGTAAAACATTCAAGAAATCTGATCACAGAACAAACAATGCTTTAGAAAAAGATTCAATTTATCACCTCCCACCAGTTTTCTCCTTCTCCGGTCGTTTCGAGACATTGATATACCTCTGTAGGTACATCCCTGAAAAATTGAAACCCCAAATCAATAAAGAGTGGTGCAAGCAAAAGACTTTTGCAGCTCATATACAATGGGGGATTTCGTGAGCACAAGTCGATACACAAATCTTCAAAAAACCTTTTCAATTATGAGATATATTCAGAAGCTAAAAGACGAATCTACTTGGAGATGCTCAGATAATCACATACACAAGACTACGACATGGAAAATTGAAATGTAATTACAGAACCTAACAACTGTTTGACTGTGTCCCCATAAAATGGATCTTACCGGAGAGAGCGATTGGAAAGGTTGAGCGAACCAGATGTTCGAGCCGCCTTCAGAATCCGATCCATTAACGCACACTCTCGATTCGTCGGTCTTCTTTATCTTCGTCTCTCCGTCGCTAATCGTGAATGATGATCGGAGATGGAGAATGTTATTATAGAACCACTAACATTTCGGAAAGTTTAATGCTTTAAGAAACAATTCACCTCTTGAAAATGGAAAAAAAAAAACAAAAATTCGTATTTTTCATTAGAATACAGCTTAACCGGATTTGTGGGTCGGCCTGTTAAAAAACTCATTTCTCATACAGCAGCCATGGAAATGCAAATGTACAATACCAGTTGCCTACTTTCTTAGCAAATTTCACTTATACTTTTTCTTTTTAACTTTATTTTGGTAAACGTTAGATTATTCAACGTTTATGTGAAGCTTTTTATTAAACCAAAACATAATGAGTGATTTATTAGACTGTGTTTTATGGACACTGAAAAGCTTAGACGTGCATCTCCGATGAAGTGGGTGCAAGAGCTTCGGTCATGGTTCCTTTGTCTGACATGTGCTTGTCTTGCCCTGAAGTGTAAGGTGGACAATGGGGACAGTTT